AAACTGGAAGAGGAGAATAAAATGCTCTCTGATCTCACCCAAAGGTCGCTGCTGGTTGTGTTGTAATGCTTTCTTTGTAACCTATTTTCCTTCGGCTCACGTGGTTTCAGCATGTGTCTAACCCCTGTTGCTGGGTGGTTTAGCTGATGTGCCTGAGTCTACATTTAACCTCTTTCCCCTGTGTGTGTTTATAGGCGTTCTCCTCCTCAACGCTGTCCTCACCGTGCGGGCCCATCAAGCCAATTCTCATAAGGAGAGAGGCTGGGAGCAATTTACCGATGCAGTTGTGTCCTGGCTAAATCAGAACTCAACTGGCCTTGTCTTCCTGCTCTGGGGCTCTTACGCTCAGAAGAAGGGCAGTGCCATTGATAGGGTATGTTTTCTTTTAACATTTTGAACACTTTAAACAGTTTAGAGAATTCTAGGAATCCCTCATGTGTGGTCCTAGAAGATATACGTCATAAAATTAATTTTATTTTCCCTTAAAACTTAGGGTTGGGTTCCCATTGAAAACTGAGCTGAATTCAGACAAATTACAGGAATGATGATGAGTTATATGTGAGGAAAGCAAATGGCCAACTTGTGATTTAATGCAGTTAGTAATGTGGGCATGAACTTGGCACATACATAGAAGATACAGAGATCTCTAGGTCCCATTCATTTAACAAGTGATCCTATAAATGATGAAAAGGGCAAGTTTCTTCCTTCCAAGAAATTTGGGAGCATATAGAAAACACCAAGAATTCTACTTAATCACAAATTTAACTTCCTCATGAAACCACTACAGTCATTAAATCTGAAGTCTAATTGTGAACACCTAACATGACCAAACCAGTTGCTGCCCTTCCTGCATCCTCCCCCAACCTGCTCCCTCTCTCTTCTTCCGCTTCATTTACTGAAACACCTGTGTGCCTGGTTGTGGAGCTCAGAGACCTAGACATCATCCTTGAATCCTTACGGTCCATCAGAGAGGATGGTGGTCTGGTGTATCAGCAGGAGGTAACTGGTATATCTGAAATGTGCAAATGTATTGAACACGGGGCGTGGAGTTCAACACTTTTTATGCAGAACCTTACTTAACTCTTGCAAAGCCTTTGCGGTAGCAATAACTTACTGTTTGAACAACCTAAGATCTAACTTTATGGACCACTAAGATCTAATTAGCTGTATAAGAAACGTGCGTGAGAGTAATTCTAATCATCCCTTAGGGAGGTTTATGGCCAGTGTAGCTCTTACTTAGCATAGTGGTAATCTTTGTTATTAAACATGGTTTGGTCTAAAAGTAAACAGTTGTTAAAGTAGCTCGATCACTAAAACCAAGTTGCCTGTCTCCAGCCCAGTGTCTCTCCTGAGCTCCAGGTCTACAGTGTGCCTCCTTACCACTGTCCCGTAGGCACCACAAATTCAACGTTTTCCAAACTGAATTTTCCTTGCCTCATCAGTCCCTCACTGAGCTTGCTCCTCTACTTTCTAGCGTTAAGGTCCCACCATCCACCCAGTTGTCCAGCCAGAAATCCAGGACGCCATTCCTGACACCTGCCTACTTCTTTCTCCTACTTTCCCTACCTCTTCCCCCTCACCCGCCCTTATGTGATCAGTCACTTATATCTGTGTTCTTTCTTCCCCCTGGGCTTGGTCAAGTCCATCCCCGTAGCCTTGCTGGTCTAGGTCCTCATCTGATCTTGCCTGGAGAATGTGAACACTTTCTCCCTGGAAGGCCTTGGCCTAGGCTGACCGGCTGGTTTGGGGGCATGACTTCCCTCTTTCTACTCTGGGCTCCAGGCTGAGACCCACCTGTACTTTTTCACTGGCCCCGCTTCCCTGTCTGCCTTTTTCTTTGCATATCCTGCTTCCTCTGCCCAGAATATGGAGGTCCCTTCCTTCCTGGGAGGCTGATTAACTTATCCTTAAAATCTTAGCATAGCTGAAGCTCGCAGGAAGGAGCCTGCGCTGGCCACAGGTGTGCTCAGCACACGATATGCATTACTTCCTGTAATACTCTATCCCGTGACCTTCATTGGATCCTTCATAGTGCTCATAAGCTAGGTGATGTTGTTACTCCCAGTTAATACATAAAAACCCAAGCAGCTTTAGAGAGTTGCAGCAACTTCCATCCATTACACAACTGCTGTGTGCCAGAGCTGGGCCTTGAACCCCCTTGGGTCTGGCTCCAGGCTCTCTGC